TGAAAGTAAAATTGCGGCTCGCAAAGCACTGGAAGCGTCGTTCATCCTCTCGCGTCAGCCAAAGATGAACGGTAAGAATGAACAGCTATCTATCACCAGCGATCTTATGCCGTTCATATCGTATTGTCAACTGTAAGATACCCACGACTACTTAAGCTGTCCATTAGTGTGACAGTTCAGTCATTTGTCATCAGTGGGTGGATCGTAAGTGAGCGGCGTTGCTGACATTGGTGAGTTGCCGTAGCATGAGGACTCAGTACCGTCCACTTAGAACGAATTGAATGAAGCAAGTGGAGGACGGCGTCGTATAAAGCAGCGAATACTGAGCCAGACCATCTTTCAGGCCTCTGAGGAAGGCATTATTGCCGAAACGTCAGGCTGAATAAATAATACTTATAACAAACCTGTGTGGCAAAATATCGCAGAAGATAGTATTACTACAATGCCCAGGTTTTACGAACAGAGAACATATGAAATATTGGATTGATAATGGCATTGACATAGAAATATAGCTATGACGGTCAATTTAGTTAGAGTTTGGTGTATCTTTAACTCTAAATTTTGTCATTTAGTTCAAGGAAAGTCTGTATGTTTATGTTCAGTTTTTAGATATTTTTAATATCTGAGGTCCAAAAAAATTTGAATAATCAAAAATAATTCTAAAGTGTGTGGCCGTGATGATGAAGTTTTACCAGAAAATACGAAATTCTGTCAAAAACAAAGTAGTAGCAACAAAGTAGTTTGTTCTATAATTTTTCATAGGAAATATAGAATTCTACATACTGAAGGGCCGATAAAAGTTAGTGATTGTGAGCTCCAGCAGATGAAGGGCTCGGCACAAACTGGAACCAGGAAGTTCCTTGAACAAAATGACCTTCGAAATTACAATGAACACAGAAGTGTGTTAAAGTGATACTTTCAAAACTTTATCGCTTACGGGGTCCCTTGGCTATCGCAGCAGGATTACGCCACTAATGAACTTTTAAGAGCTATAAAAAAGTGCAGAGAAAGGTCAAAGATACAGGGATGCGTAAAGATTGGGTCTAGCTTAGCGAGTACCCAGCTGATACGCTTTTACTTGATTAGCGGAAAAATTGAGCATGGATTACACTCGCATGAGCTTTTGCAAGTTTCTCAGTTATATGGTGCATCTCCCAGAATTGTTCTCGTATGAATCATCAACGCGGCTACCTTTCGATCATTTTAACATGTCAACTTAGCACAAACGCCTTGAATTTGCTGGAGTTAAGCTGTTAAAACAATCGAAAAGCAGCCACGTTGATGTTCATATGGAAATAATTCTGGACAATGCACAATAGTTCGAGTCCTCACGACGCCAAATGTGGTGGCATATCAATGCGCGTTGGTCATGAACAAGGCAGTTGTTTGTTTCCAACGCCAATTTGTTTCCCATGTGTATGAAATCGTGTAAGTGCATGCAAGTAGTGGCCCTGTCTTGGCTTGTTCGAACCATTGAGGATGTTCAAATGGATCATTCTAACGTTCGGTGTTCCTCTGCGATTTTATCTAAGGCTTGGACAGGCACGCAAAAACCTGCTTTTTCCCTCAAAAACAATGCGCAACTTCTCGTTAGTTGTTTGAGCGTAGTCCAAGATAGGTACAGAACTTTATAGTACAGAATACAGACTAACCTTTCGGCGAACTTGCCTTCTTCAGAGTTTGAAAAGTCGAAGATACATAAGTAAGCTATCCATCAAAGACCTCGTTCACTACAGAAAAGAGCCCAACCCCTAAGAAAAACAACAGCCTTAACCAAAAGCAAGACTAAGCTAGTGCCGACCTTAGCAGCTGATAATCTGGTGGTTGTGTTTCGAATTCTGCACCCTTCAAATGATCACCCTGGAGAAAGCCCATTCCTACGAGTTTGCTCCCAAATTGCGTAACATGTGCAGTAAAGACTATGACTTCAATGAATTTCGCCCGAAAGGCGCTTATACGGCTGCGAAGGAGCATAGATCGTATTGAGACAGAAATTAGGAGGGGGGAGGGCGGTTGTGTGCCACATCTTTTGCTCGAGCCCAATGCAACTTTTAGTACACAAAAAGTTGAGGATAACCACAGCTAAACAGTAATTCGGGAAGAGCGGCAGGAGACGTCGTGAATTCAAAGGAATCTTCCTACAGAAGATTTGACTCATTCTCAGACAATCGATCGGACCCCTCCGCCGGACAGTCGAAATCTGCCAGAGTCGCGCCTGACCCAGTTGACCAATGAGAGCGGGGCGATTGGGCGGTCCCTTCTTGTAGGTCGCGGTGACATCACCAGCAGGCGAGTGGGACCCTTCTCCGGATCTGCTGCAAAGCTACGCCATTTCTGCTCCGGAGGTACGCCAGATTTGGCAGAGCCGCGCCGGAGAAATTTGCCCGCCGCGAGTCCACTAGATTTGGAAGAGCCGCGGAGCAGAAAATCGGAGGGGTCCGGAGCACAAATGGGAGGCCTCCGGCACAGAAAATCGGGGGGCTCCGGAGCATGAGTGGCAGACACCCCGCTGGGGAAATCCCGCGGTCCTGCCATTTCTCCGCCGGAGGGGTCCGATCCGCTGTCTGAGAGGATCTTCAATATTTCAATATTCTCATATTTTATTCAAAATGCAAATATCTGCATGTACTCTAATCTATTTATTCTAAGGTGCCATTCATAAAACTAGCTTACAGCTTTACTCAAGAGCAAGGCTGAAACGCCGAGAGCATCCATTTTAAATAGTGATTATTTCTCTAAACTTTCTTGTTCTTGAGCTGGTCGTCGCAGGAACAGATTACTCGGGATAGGATAGAGGTGATGCAGCAATAGGCGTTTCTCGATGTCCTGTAGAGACCTTGCTACTGTAGCATGTTTTTTTGCCTTTTTCTCTTTCTTTTATTTCAAAGTACCTTGCCGTCTCTAAGACGTATAAGGAAATGCGTGTGATGAATGTGCTGTTGAGATGGGAAACAATTCATTTGACATTTCAGTGCAAACACTTCATCTCAGCGAACATGTGTGGGACAGAAATTATGGAGGGATGGAACTTGGCTCAGCTGTGGAAAAAATAGCCTGAGAAGAGCCGTCAATCAGACGCGCAATAGCACACATAGTCAAGAGCCAATCTCAACCATGCTGAAAACCAAGCCCACCAAGCCATCAACTTTTGAAAATTATTCAACACAATATTGGATGAAGCTTGTTCAAAAAGCTTGTTCAATTATTCTCTGACTTAGAGGGAAGTTGAGTTGTGATGTGAAAGATTACGATACCGTAACGCAAACAGATTTGGTTAATTTCTACTGAAATAAACTTAAATAAGATTGCGACAAAACTGACGATATGACGTCATGCAATATCCAAAAGGTCATATGCTACTCGTTTTTGTAGGCAAATTGAATATATTTAGTTATGCAATTACAGTCGAGTAGATTTCCTGCTTAATATAGTGCTCCTGCAGACGCGACAACGCTGGGGCGTCAATAATTGCCTGACAAGTTGCCTACACATTCCCGAGCTAGTGTTTTCCAAAGTTTTCTTTGCTTATTCTATGCTTTTTAGGTGATTCGTTGCTGATAAAGAAGAAAAGGGTAAGTTAGTAAGTTTCTGAGAGTAGTTCCTGTTTTCTGAGATGTTTTATCATTGCGTATTCACAGATATCCGCGTGGAAGCAGTTCGCGTCAGCTCCTTTTTCTATTTTTTTGTTACTCCATGTCTCTTTCTTCTTGTGAGGTACTTCTTTGAACGCTAGCGGGTTTTTACGATTGACTTATTGTCTTCACATGAAGTACTTGATTAAAATGCTATTTCTTATGGATGAAACCCGAAATTGCTGCAAGACAAGCCAACTAGCGTTCAAAGAAACGCCTCACAAAAAGGAGGAGGTTTGAAAGAAGAGGTTACAGAAGAAAAGGAAATGACAAAAAAATAGGCAAGAAGCTGACACGAAATGCTTCCACGTGGATATCTGTATGTGAATATGCGATGACAGGACTTCTCAGAAAGCAGAAAATACTCTTTGACTTACCCTTTTCCTCTTTATCAGCAACGAAACAACTGAAAGGCATGAAATAAGCGAAGAAAACATTGGAAAACATTAGCTCGGGAACTCGCAAGGCATTTATTGACGCCCCAGCGTTGCCGCGTCTGCAGGGACACTATATTAAGCAGGAAATCTACTCGACTGTATAATTATGCTTCCTGTGGTTTGTTATTCTAGGTTGGTAAGAAAGTTCTCGGACATTGCCTTTATACAAAGATAATGCTTCGATGCAAGCACCAATCAGTGCATGCTGTACATCACTGGATAGAGGAAAGCAAACACTACAAGACCGTACTAATCACAACCATGACTAATGAATCCTGTAAAAATAGAGCAGAAAATTCGAAGACATAGGATTTTGACAGAGCTTAGAACTCCACCTTCCGTAAACACTGTAACACTCGCAAATATTCCAATATATAGCAGACATGAACTCACATGCACTTATGCAAGGTCTATATGGAATTTGAGCTTAATTAGCAGGAAAAATGAGATAATCGAAAAGTGGCAAACTCCGCCTTTATTGACCCTAAGCTCCTCCCACCTGCACAAATATAAGCCGCGTACATGTGAGAGTGCAACTACAAATTTTCGCGTTCGTAAATGCATTACAACCCGAGAAATAGCAATTTTCGCGTGAAAATGTCCGAAAACTTTCTTACCGACCTAATAAATAAAGGCTTCCCCAATATGCTTCGAATGCACAACATCAACAACTTTGGGATTTAAGCACTTCAGTAACGTCTCGGTTATGTGTTCAGTGTTTTCACGCGTCAGTGCGAAATTGTTGGGTTAACTCATAACCAGAATAGAAAAAGGTAGCATTTCTAGGCAGCGCAAATGTATTTTGATGTTTGTCTTTTCTCTTGCGAGTTCTTAGCAATTCTTCTAGGTCGCCGATACGCACTCTACATCAAGTATCGATCTGGCGTTCACTTTGAGAAACTTCCACAATTTGTTTTTGTGCCCGCCTTCGTCTAGATCGGCATCAATATGGCATCCGACACAGCAGCGACCAAGTAAATACACTTCCCTCATAACACTTTAAGTCCTCGTTTTGCAAACTGCACACTATCAACTCACTCACGCATTTCTAGGAGAGTACGTTTTAAGCGTAAAATTACCATTCTAGTGCGCTTCTTAATGCTGAAACGGATTTTGGCTTGGATTTGCTCCGACAGTCCCCAGCAAATGCCGAGCTAGTCATTTCACCACTTTCTATCATCCTTGCGTTGACAATGGTTCAGGCTGGAGCGAGAGGAAAGACAAAAGAGCAAATCGATAAAGTTATAGCAAAAGGTAAGAATGCGTTGCTCTGTTGTGTATGCTAAAAGCTAATAACATAGACTTTCGAGACATTTGACACTTCCTTACAAAACCATATCTGTCATTTTTTGAATCATAGAGTTAGTGATAAGATTTCCTGTTTGAGTTCAAAATGATTAAAAGAATTCGAAGTAAGTCGACGGATTATTACTTTATCCCTAATTGGATATATCTAAAAAAACAGTTTATACTTTTTGAGGAGCAAATGACAAGGATATCAAAAACTTTTACTCGTTCCTCTCAAATGACATTAGGAACTCGACAAATGGTGTGCGAACTAATATAGCAAACGCATTCTTCTTGGAGTGAGTTTTATTTTCATGATGCTTCTTCTAGCGACTTTCACTCAGTTTAGTAAGAAATATGCAGTGGCAAAGCAGTATGCTGAAACCATAGATCAACTTTATGCTGCAAAAGTTGAGATCTTGGATTTTGATCAAATCCAAGAGACAGCTAAGGTATTGATCTACCTTCAGATGTAAAAATTAAGAAAAAGTTTTCTCAGATTATCAACGCGTTTGTCGATAATGCTACTATGGGAAAGATCAAAGACTTCATTCAAGAGAAGATGGTCAAGGGTGAGTTTGCTTTTTGACTGCTACTTTTTCATGAGTAACGCTCCAGATGCCTTTTCGCTTGTTGTCAATGCCGTTTATTTCACTGCAAAATGGGAACACGAATTCTCAAAGGAATTTACATCAGACGCAACCTTTTACAGCTCTGAAAACCAGCAAAGAGAGGTAAGAAAATTAGTGCGTAAATTAATGCCATTAGCTTGCGAAGTAGATGCACTTGGTAACACATATGTATGAAATAGTCATGTGTGGTTTAGTTTGTAATGCTCAATTTATCATTTTTCTGTATATGCGAGTTTCTGGAAGGCTGTTTACGCAGTGTTTCTCTATAGATAAAACAGTCATTACAAATGAGCAATGGTGTCAAAATGCCTAGGAAGGGCGGGGAGAGAGTGCAACGAATTTTTTTCAAATTAAAAGGAATAAACATATGCTTTGGAAGTCCTTTGAAAGTTGTTTTTTTGCAAGCTCGTAACGTTGGGATCTTATTCCGGTTTCATTCCAGAAATATCTAAATTTTAGATATATATTAAATTATTCTGTTCATTTGAAAACATGCATTTCATAGCCCATAATAGCCGCTTTCGAGTTTTACGACCCGCTTTATGTTTCTGAATAACAGAAAAGCTTGTATGATTTCTTGCTGACACCTAATGCGATAATTTAGATCGAGTTTCTCAAAGAGTCCGACGAGCATCGGTTTTATACAGAAGACGAAAGGGTGCAAGTTTTGTCACTTCGTTACAAGGATACCTCCTATGCAGTCAACATATTTCTCCCTAAAAAGCGGTGCTTAATTAATTTGATTTTTAAAGATATGCAGTGTATAGATGGGTTGAATGATGCTAACAATTCAAGGTTCGCACTCGATGAAGTGAAACGCTACCTAGATGGTTCGATGGTTCAACAGCTGTTATCCAAACTTAAGAGGACATACGTAACGGTAAATGTTTTTCGATAATGTAATATTTTTAACGTACTGGATGCCTGAGAAGTACGAATTTATCATATAATATTCTATAACTTTTTTAGGAATAATGAAACAACCGAATCTTTGAAGCACAAAAAAGATATACAAATGCCCTTTATTACTATTAAATAACGGCGGGGATTTATAGCAATTTAGCATCACTGCGAATTAGCTGGTGTTGAAAAAGTAGGGTATTATTCAATTTATCTATCACAAAAAGTATATGACTGCTCTTTATCACTGATAGATTTCAGTAGAAATTTCGGCAATTTCGCATCATCGCGAATCAGCTGTTAATAAAAAAAAAATTTCAAAAGCTCTGGAAATGTGCGCATTGAGGCTAAAAACACACTAATCTTATGTTAGCATCGAACTTTGTAGAGACTTATGATGCTTCCAAAATGGTCTTTCCCAAGTAAAACTCTAAAAGTCATTTGTATAAAAATCTGTACTTGAGGTAGCAACCTTATACCTCAGACGTGCTACCTAGCAACCTGCTACCTAGCGACCTGCTATTTGGTTTAGTTGAATCGAATCATTTTACAGTCTTTGAATCAAACTCGGTCTTTCAAAGTGATTTTCTTGAGAAACTGTCAAGATCTTGAGAACCCAGAGAGTTACAACGAACAAACAGTGCATAAGGGCTCTGCGTGATTGCGAGAGTCGGTGAGATTGCGGCTATTGCACAAGCAGGGTGATACACTTCAATAAACTCGTACTTCTTAAAATCATTTCAAGTAGTTGAAAGTAACTTCTGATAGCTGTAAAACGCTTGACAGGAGAAGAAAAACTAAGAAAGTTCAATGTGCCAGTAATGGCCGCAACCTCACCGACTCTCGCGATCACGCAGTTTATACATGCATTCCAAAACACTTATAGAATCTTGTGGCTCAAATTAATGAATGCTTTTTGAATTAGTTTTTTTAGATCTCCATACCAAAAATGAAAATCGAAACCGATTTCAAACTGAAAGAAGCACTACTAGCAATGGGTGTTACCGAAATGTTCTCCAAAAAGGCCGACCTTACTGGCATCACAAGCGCGCCTCCACTGAGAGTGTCGGATGCAGCACACAAAGCTATCATAGAGGTTGATGTTAAAATTTTGATGCAAGCTAATATCTGAAGCCTTATTAAAGCATTCTTGAGAAATGATTTCCGAACTATTTTTAAATTCATTTAGGTGGACGAAGAAGGAACGACGGCGGCTGCCGCGACGGCTTTCAAAATCGTACCGGAATCAGCTGTAGCGGATGAGTCTATAAAGTTTATCGCCAACCATCCTTTTATATTCATACTAACAAAAAACAAGCATCCCTTGTTTATGGGACAGTTTGTATAAAGAATGCAGTTAAATTTTTTGTAGTACTTGAAGTTATATAAACCTATTGAGCCCAGCTGTTTATCCATGCGACGAAAAGCCTTCAAATTCATTACTAAACTTATCCTTTAATCCCAAATTTAACAGGTCTGCTTTTCAAAAAGTTAGATATAAATGCTGCGCACGATGGTTCCTTCAACTACCTTAGGTCTGTTTTGAGAACGGAGAGCGCAGTTAGTGCGTGATAGTGAACTTCCTTGAGTTTTTGCTATTTGACCGAGAAAACAAGAATGATTTGTAACGCTGATAAAAATAAAGATTCATCCAGATTGCACGTAATTATAATCGTAAAAAAGCTAGGTCAAATTTAATTCATTACGATCAGGAAATACAACTTGCCTAGGAGTCTTTGACATTTGACATTTGACATAGCAGCAACATGTAACAGGGCCTTCAAACTAAGAAAGCGGATTGAGGGACTTTTACATCTGCAAGAATTGGTGGCTTATGATCAATATGCTCTCAAGAAATTATCTCTGCCCCATCATCTGTTCTCCTATTCGAAAGCTGTTGTTTGAACTCCGGGAACGTGATGGACTAAAGGGCAACACGGTATAGAAGTGCGGATATAGCTGATTTAACTGTAGTTTTTCTCTTTATTTAGGTGAGTATGTTGAACAATGCTTTGTCACGGCAAGACCGACTATCAAGGAAAAGGCTATTTAAAGCAGTCTCTTGAAAAGTAATTAAAATTACCTATAGGCGGGTGCAAAAGTTTCGTCAATTTGAATTAGCCCGCAAATTCCGTACAATAAAGATAAGCAAAGCGGCTGCCATATTTACAGTGTGATTTGTCAAATGAGTACTGAGTTACGCTGGAGATTAAAACCTTTCGTTTTCACCATGCCTATTTCTGTTAAATTTCAAAATTTTTATCTGAAATTTTTGGGGCAGCAATATAGCTTTGATAGCCAGCAGATAGGGCAAACCCTTTGCCTGCTAAGTCATTTTTCGTATTTCTCCAGCTTCTCATTCAGAATTTGCTGAATAATTTCCTAAGTTTCTTCAGTTTATGAACAAAACAAACACCAAACACTACAAAGTTCTAAGAATACTGAAGTTTGAGCTGATAATTACTATTAGTATTCCTTACAAAGAAAATAGTCTCAAAAATGAAGATTTGGAAATCTAGGGTGCATCAGTGCGCACTCCTGAAATTCAAAAATACTGCGACTTTTGCCTCAAACTTCGTGTGCCTCGCCAAGAACAAACACCTGTTAGAAAGAGGAAAAGAAGCTGAATGAATGGTACCTGAACTGTCTACCATATCATGTTCTACGAGGTTAGTAGACCAATACAAAGTTTGATTTTTTCAAGAAATATGTTTAAAAAATTGTAAACAAGCAAGAAGATACAAAAAATCGCTTCATTAGATTTGCTGTATCTGATGGGCGTTTATTGGAGTAAGAATCATGTGTGGTACAATAATGATAGTCGTAATGTATTTCTTCCTATGTTCGCCGTAATCTATCAGTTAATGTTCGTAAGTGGATTTCCAATTTAAAGGACTTGTAAAGCAAAAGGATGTGTTTACAGAATCTCTTCACAAAGTCGCATTTAGGCACAGGTTTCTCATTGCAGGACAGTCCATTTACGGTTAGTCACATATACAATTTGATCTCGTGTCTTTTCTACGACACAAGTTTGGTTGCAAAATAAGCTTTCGATTCTTAATTCTTTCTTGTTTTTACCACGTTTTGCAAAAATCAGTGTTCTATCTTTTGAACTCTCCAAGTCTTTTCAGGCTGCCTTGTTTGCAGCATATCCAGCCTTCAAGAGCGTACCTTACCTCGACTATTTGATATAATCGTTCACAAGCTTTTGCGTGCTATGATGAAAGCTCTTGCCCACTTGAATCCTGTAATTTATAGTTCGCATTCAGTGGAGTTTGTTCTTATGATTACCCTAAACATCGGTTCACCACTTATGAAAAGTGATGCTATCTCGATATTTGCACAAGAAGTTCAGATTTATTTAGAACATAATTTTTGCATTGCGACTTGGTTTAGCTAATGCTGAAAAGAACTATTTACTTGCAATTTGTCTTTGAGGACTGCACAATTCTTCTAATATTGAGGGTGCATTCATATTAGTTTGTAAAGTCTCAGCTAATCCTGTTGCTACATGCCGGTTTGTTTTACCATAGTTCAGGCAGAAATTGGAACGGCCATTAGCGAAACGGTGAACGGGCATCCGCCAATGGCTTGCACCGTTTCGCTACTACAGTAGATGATATTAGGCCAGGAAATCATGACTGCTTCCCCTTCTCTTCCTGCTTTGGTTGGCAAGATGCCAGCGCTGTAAGCTTGAAGTCCTTGAGCATATAGAGATAAGAGGGCGTGTAGAACTTCGACAAATTGATGGCTTACGCCTCCAAAAATGTAACAGTCGTAATGTGAAAGGACGCTGCATCAGAGCATGTTTGTATGAATTCAAGTATTTATTGTAGATGTTTTATAGTAATTTCGAAAAACAAGCAGAACTTTTGAGACAACCTAATATGTGTACAAGAAGAGTATAGCAAAGCTCCCGCAGAGCAAGTTTGCAAAGATTGAAACTATTTATCTTCCTGAAAATTCAATGAAAATGCTCCAAAATTGTACTGAGGATATACTACAGCAATGCTAAACATGTTTGTGGTAGAAGTGAGTGAAATTTCAAGATGTCAAAATCTTCGATGAACCGCTGCTCGCGAGCCAGGGATTATCGAAAAAACGAAATCTTCAGATTCCATTTCTTCTGTCGAAAATATGCTCAGCAGTATCGTAGTATATCTTTAGTGCATTTTGCAGCGTTTTCATTGAGTTTTCAGGGAGATAAATGACTTTGAAAATGTGAGGTGATCCCCTGGGGATCCCCAGGGGATCATACGAAACAGTGATTATCTAATCTTGTATGGCAGTGACCTGGCATCCGTTATTCGCAGGTATCAGTGTATGAGAAACTTCATAAGCAAGATAGAGAAAGAAGAAGAAAGATATGTAGACTAGCAAGATATGACGCTTCCCCTCTCAGATCCCCTCCCCTCCCCGCGGGTATGTACATGCATACGGGCCTAAGAAGGCAAGCGTTTTTAGAGTTATAAAAACAGTGTGGCCATAGCTATAGACCACGCTAAAAATGCTGTAATTTGCCCTCTCTTGGACGAAATTGCCTAAAAAACTACTAATCGTGTGTAAGCCAACTTCATACCACTTATTAGAACCCAATTTCATTGATTTCAGCCGGAGAAAAATACGGCTTATAAAATTATTGCAGCCGGGGCTACAAATTTATTGCAACACATAGCAAGCAGCTTTCAGAATATAACCAAAAACAGTAGCTTTCGCCACGGTCAATTTTAGCTATTTTTTATACCTTTATACCGAACAAATGGAGGAGTTAAACATAAGGATAGAGCGAGCCCTACAGGAAAAGCAATTGTTCTCTTTTTTTCATAACTCGTTATCTTTCCTTAAAAAGATCTTTATTGCTACTTTTTATACTTGGTCAAATCAAACATAGAAGATAAAAAGGCGAGCAGCTTGGGTATCATTTAATGCAGCTTTTCTCCCTCTAATGGTATTCTTTCTTTTCGATTCGTAGAATGTTCGGGGATAGAGTAATCATAATGGCTTCAACGCTTCCCTGGCTGTACCCGAATAATTCGAAATTTTCTGTTTCGATTTCGTAAACTGTCATTTGCTTTATAAAGTTAGCGTTGAATCAAAATACCATCATTGGTGATTGATGCGTTTGTATCTGAGGTACGCCTGCTAAAATTCGGTGGTTTTAATTGAAAAATTTTGAAAAACTATGTCAAGCGTTATGGAAAGGAGAATTAGTACTGTTCTCTAGGGTTTGCTCTATCATCGCTACTTAAACCTTTTTGAATCTCTCTGGCAACCCTCCCGATGATTTTAGAATGTGAAATTTGACCATCCCAGAAAGCTCGCAAACTTTGCTATTTCTTGAGAGCTCATTGTTCGTGTTGCAATGGTTTTACAATCATCAAAAAAAAGGTTGAAACAGCATTGTTGCTGAGGAACATATTATTATTTGCTCTTTCAGATAACCAAAGAGCTCACCTTTGTATGCACCTAATAGAACTTTCAAGGTGTATCCATGCATGTGCAATTTTCGGCTTTTCTTCATTTTCAAAAGTTTTGGACCAAAAGGTTACTTAAAGGCAGCGTCCAGCCAAGTCTGGACACATGGGGCTCTCACGTGGATAGTAATCTTGGGTCCCTAACTAAGCCACTGCCCAACCGGCAGCTCAGGTAGTGCTCTAACGGCTGAGCTATTCCCCTCCTGGACTCCGCGTATGCATGGATTCATGGCGCAAAGTGTGGATCCTGGCGCGAAACTGCCATGAATCCATGCGAATACGATTGCGGGGTCCAGTTTCGAGGGGAATACCTCAGCCGTTAGAACACTACCTGCGCTGCCGCTTCAGGAGTGCCTTAGTTAGGGCCCCAAAAGTACTTTACACGTAAAATCCCCATAGGTCCAGATCTGCCTGGACGCTGCCTTTAAGCTGCGTGTCAAACATCGCATTTTCAAATAAGCTCTCTCATTAACTCAAATAATGGGAAAGTTCTGCATAATAAACTAATCGTGAAAATTTTTTTTGAGAACTTATCTAAACGTATTACGTGTCTAGAAACTTTACAGTACTACAGATTGGAATGACGTTTGAAAAAGCCTGTCTCACTTCTCCAAAGCGATCCGAAGCGCCGCTCGAAAGCTAGTGGAAGAGTAGCAGTAAGTGCTTTCAGGATATATGCAAAAAGCGATCACATTATTGCCTGTTTACTCTTGATTTAAAAACTCTCAGAATCGTAAAAAACCAAAGTGCCCCATTAAGTTTGAATCAACCTTATGTTGGATGCACCTACTTGCAGAAGAGTACAATAACTATTCAGCGTTTCTATATTCGCTAATGTAAGATTACAGAAATGAATTGACCATCTAGCTAACCGTCCCATTACTCTATCACTAATAGCCAATCAGTGGATCCATTCCGATTACTC